ATCGATAAATCTATTTCCGGTATCAAACATCGCAGAGAGCTTTGAAATTTTCTAGAAGTCTAAATTTTCTTGTTAATATCTTTCAACGCCTTTTTCCATTGCCGAGCGACTGTGGAAAAGCCGTTTGACGCCTGTGGTACTCGCTTACCATGCAAAAGCAAAAACCTTGATTATCGAAAACACATTGTTCATTGAAAACTCTTTTTTTAGTGAAAATGAAATAAAACAATTAATAGAAGGAAGAAATCAACTTCAAGATGATATATCAAATAATAATCAGTAAGAGTATCTAAAAAAAAAGTCAATAAGCATATGATCATGACTTTGTGTTTTTTTAAAGGGAAATTCATAATTTAAAATGTCAAATAGCAGAATATGAACAAGAATTACGAGAATTGAATGAGAAATATTTTGAAGTATTATCAAATATTGAGAAGCAAACTCAATCATCTTCGCGAGTCGATCAACTGATTGATAATGAAACTCAAACTGATGATCAACAACATGATAAACTTATACAAGTTAATAGTAAACTTAAACGTGCACTTCAAACTATTAAAGAAAAAATTCATCATGTTGTTATCGAACGACCTGAATTATTTGTTGATTCAGCTGATGATACGATCGAACGACTTGATCATTTAATTTCTGTTATCGAACAACAAACAGTACAAATGAAAATTTTACAAACTGAACATGATCATAAACAAAACGAAATCAATGACCTTCAAAGGTTATTTCATCATATTAAATTTATCTTTTATTAAGAATATTTATAATTTATTATAGTTCTCTTGAATCATATCGACATAAAATACAAGGTAATCTTTCTGACAAAGATCAAGAGAAATCTTTATTAGAGAAACGTTTAAATGAACTTGAACTTGAACTTAAAAAAACGTTAAATGATCATTCATCAACAATGATTAAATTCGAATCACTTGCTCGAGAACATGATGTTCTTGTTCAACAACAAAAACTTCAATCAATAGAACAGTATGAAATTAATTCTATTTTATATTCTAACTTTTATTCGTATTTTTCTTCAGTCAACAAGAAATTGAAGAATTACAAGACGAATTAATAGAACTCAAAGAAATATATATACCATCAATTGATGAGTGAGTTATTTTCATTTCATCGAAATTACATAATGAAATTTATCTAGAATTAAATCATTGAAACAAACTATTGAACAACAATCAGAAAATCTTATAGATTTAAATGAAAAAAATCTTATTCTTTCATCTCAACTTGATACGCAAAAGTAAGGATCTTAGTCGAAGTTATTCAATTAAATGAACTTTCTTTATCATATAGAAAAGAGATAGAACAACAAACTAATGAATTAGACAATCTCACAAAAGAATATACAAAACTTCTTGAATTAATATCTATTGAAAAAATAGATAATGAAACTCAAACAGATGATCGTCAACATGAAAAATTAATTCAAATTAATAATAAATTAAAACGTATTTTACAAACATTCAAAGAAAAAATTCATCGAATTGTTATTGAAAAACCAAATTTATTTGATGGAATTAGTGAAGAAACAAGTGAACGTCTTGATCATCTCATTTCAATAGTTGAAAATCAAACAACACAAATCGATCTTATACAAACTGAACGTGATCAATTAGAAAAACAACTTCGAAATGAAATAAAAAAACTTGAAAAGTGAGAAACAAAACATTCTTTACTCCTTTAGATACAAAATTTCAATTCTGAATTATATAGATCATTGGAAACAAGTCAAAACGAACTTAACTATGAACAACAAGTGAGAATTGAACAACTCGCGGCTGCTGCACCATCTGAAGACCTCAGGTAAGATCATTCGAACAACATTCACTTGAGATCTATTTTACTTTTTAGTTCTTCCATTGCCGAAGATTATCAAAAGCAGATCGATGAACTTAAACAAAAACTATTTGAAAATAATGAAGAGAAAACTTTATTATGTGGCCGTCATAATGAAGTTGAACTCGAACTAAAAGAAATAAAACATAAACATGAATTAACATTGACTAAATACAAAGAAGAATTGCTATCTCTTGTAGAAGAACGAAATGAACTTATTGAACAACAAACAATTTCTTCAACAGAACAGTAAGACTTTAATCGTAACGACTCATATGTAACTAAGTGGAAAAAGTCTAATAAGGATTTATTTTTTCAATTTTTTTTCTATAATGTTAAGAAATTAGCTCAAATCGAGATAATGATTTTAATAGCCAATTGAGTTTTCTATCAAATACATTCTAGACCAAGATTTCATAAATGAACTATGACAGCGCACGGTAATTTTCAAGTACTCGAAGATTTTGTGAGGGCTATTTTTTAACAATGCTATTTTATAGAGCATGAAATTCTAAAAATACCGAAGGATCGGCACATTTTCTGCGACCTTCCCTTAACAAGTTAAAAATGTTACAAAAAGCCATTATAAGAGTTTTTCTATAGGAAGGAGAATGTGTACGATTGTAGAGGATGACTTCCTCTATCTAATAGTACATGCACATATACTATTGATGTGACTAATAAATAGTGCAACTTTCATCGCATCCTATGGTGACGCCATCCATTTTTAACTTGTTCAGGAGAAATAATCGAAAATACAGCGATCTTCATTGGTTCACAATTTCGTACTCTTTAAAATAGTAGGGCTAAAAATTACTTCGACTAAGTCTGATGGGGTCTTACAAACTCTGTGTATAGTTTTTTTGAAATCTTGCTATAGAATCCATGAAATAAAAAAAAATCATAGGCTATTAGAACCACTATCTGGGTTTGAGCGAGATGCTTAACATTATATAGAAAAATAGATTGCTGTTAAACTTCTTTTTTTCCATAACCCTATTTATTCAAATGACACATTTTAGTGAACGCGAAATCGAGCAATTGAAAAAGAATAATGATCAAATACGAGAAGAATTAACTAAACTGAAACAATCACCTGATTGTCGACATGTAGAAATTCAAACATATGAAGAGTGAGAGAAAAACGAATTTAAATATTTCTTTATTCTTACTAAAATCTTCTTTCTATTTAGCATTGACGCATTGCATGAATTAATAGAGCAACAAACAGAACAAGTGAAAGTTTTGAAGGAAAAATGTCTTTCTCTTGCTAATGAAATTGATTCTAATGCAGAATTACAAACTGAAATAGAAAGAGAAAGGTAATACATTTTATCTTAATTATTCTATTAAGTAAAAAACGAAAGTTCATTTTTCTCTAGAAAACAAACTGACAAACAATTAAATGAATATAAAAATCAAATAGAAACTCTCATGAACGTACGTACAAATCTTTTACAAGAAATAGAAAAATATACTTTATCATCAATCAAAACAACAAATAATCAATGTCAAACAGATTATGATGATCAATTTAAGAAACTGAAACGTACATTTAAAACTTTTAAACATAAGATTTATCGTTTCGTAAATGCAAGACCAGATCTATTCAATGGTATCGGTGAAGAGACAAGTGAACGTCTTGATCATTTAATTTCAATTGTTGAAAATCAATCAACACAAATTAATGTCTTACAAGTTGAACGTAATCTAATCGAAGAACAACTACGAAATGAAATAAAAGAACTTCAAAAGTAGAGAAAAAAAAAACAACAATAACATTCTTAATATCTCTCGAAATAATTCATTTATTTTAATTTTCATAGTTCTTTGGAAGCATATAAAAATCAAATTGAAAATGAACGTTTAACAAAAACGGAACAGATTGTATCTACTTCTTTATCAACACCATCTTCTGAAAATATCAGGTTAAATAAATTCTTATTAAGAATTAATTTAATTTAATTTTTTTTCTGATTTGTGTTTATTTTTAGTGCATCTCTTATTGAAGATTATCAAAATAAAATTGATCAATTGCAAGAAAATCTCTTTCAAAAAGATGCTGAACAAGTATTACTACAAGAACGTTTTAATAATATTGAATTCGAACTCAAACAAACATTAATGAATAAATATGAAACACTTTTACATGAGCGAGATGAACTTATTCAACAACAAACATTTCGCTTAATAGAAAAGTAATAATTAAATTTTTTATCTCATTTTATTTTTATATCCTGAATCATATCATTATAGTCAATGTGAAATTGAACAGTTTATGAAACTTAAACAATCAGCTGATTACCAACATGTAGAAATTCAAACAGATGAAGAGTAAGTTTAATCAAATAAATTAAATTTATCAAAAAATAAGTCTTATGTATATATAGCATTAAAGCATTACATGAACAACTTAATGATCTGAATGAAAAAAATCTTACTCTCTTATCTCAAATTGAATCTCAAGATGAACTCAAAAGACAAAAGTAACTATTGACTATAGTCCTTTGATCTCAAATTCAGATTAAGGAATAGTTCATTTAGACTAGAGTCAGTGGCGTTCGAAATCAATCTGATAGACTTTAGTTTAGATACTCTCTCTGAAACGAAATTTTATCATTTAATTATCATACTTACATGTTTTCTAGAGGAAAATATAGACTATATAATGGTTTCGGAAACAAAATACGCGCTTAAAAGATATGAAAAAAATTATTATTGAATTTGATTGTTGGAATGCGACGTGAGTGTGCTCACAACATTGCGAGAACATAATTTCGAGTGAAATTTAATATTTTTCTAAGAGTTTAAAAATATTCATGCAGTGGAATATAAAAAAAAATTAAACCACAGTTTTCGAGTGATTTGAACGACATGCGAAGTGTTACGGATGTATTAAATGAGTTATTATTTCTATCTGTTAATAATTGGGACCTTGTAAACTAGTGTCAATAAAAGAACAAATAAGGCTAAAAGTAAAATCGAAATTTCAACCTTGAATTTAAGACCAAAGGACTATAAATCTTTTCTTTTTCTTAGTTAAACAGTTTTTTTCATTAACATAGGAAAGAAATTGAAGCACAATTAAATGAACATAAAACTCAAATTGAAAATCTCATGAATGAACGTCAAAAACTTGTAGAAGAAATAGAAAAATATATTTCATCATCTATTCAATTAGTCGATAATGAAATTCAAACAAATGATGATGATTTTGAGAAATTACTTCAAACTAATAATACATTAAAATATACAATCGACACAATCAATGACAAAATCAATCATATTATAACTGGAAGACCAGATCTATTTAAAGATATTAGTGAAGAAACTAATGATCGTCTTGATAGTTTAATTTCAACTATAGAAAATCAAACCAAACAAATCATTAAATTACAATCTGAATATGATCAAGTAGAAGAAAAATATCAACGTGAAATCAATGATTTACAACGGTAAAGATTTAGCTGATCATAGAAAGGCCTAAAGGAAAAATATCGAAACAAGGAAAATATTCAAATAAAAAGCTATCAGCGCAATCCCTCCGGAATTAAAATATGAAACACGACGTAGTTGCTGTTACTAGTCACAGGAAAATTGCTTTATACTATATATTTTGGAACACATTTCCTCCAGAGATGTTCGTAGCGACTGGAAATCTGCCGCTACTACAATAGTTTTCGAGAAACTCTTCGACAGTCGCTTCCATCCCTTTGCTAAATAAGTACAGTTTGATTGAATTCACTAGGTTCATCACCATTCAGACTGTTAGACTTGTATACACTCAAATCGGATGCAAATTCATACAATTGTACAACCTCCGTAAAAGTGAAGCTATCGTGATAGTATTTTTGAAACATTTCCGGCAGCGTGGCAATTTAAAAAAACGTGCGACTAATTTCGTTGCGGAGGCGACAACACTCCGATGGACATCTCTTATGTTTTCATCATCCTTTTACTTAGTTTTTCAAATGTGCAATAAGAAAATAGTTTTTATATTAGCACGAGACGTTATTCATATACGATCTTCGATCGTACATCAACAACTTATGCTACGATGTATGATGAGTAGTATCCCTGTGACTCATGGTAACCGCCATGACTGTGGCATTATTTCTCAGAAGTTGTGACCATGACTAAAATTTATTCATTTTTTCTGAATCAAACAACTAGACATAGAGATTACAGAAGAAATTATAACTGAGTAAAATTTTAATTTTTCCTAGAACTAATTAATATACAAAACATAATCAAAGTACATATTTTATTACAAATACATTGAAATGAAAACATACGATTGAATAGAATCGAATTAGGAACATAATTTTCTTCTTGGTTAATAATCTCTTTAATAAAAATTTGTTTTTTGCCTTGTCTTGCTTTCGTCACAATAAACATCGTTCAAGAAAAGAGATCGTGACTCGGAGTTAAATAGAAAGAGTGACCTTGAGCAAAAAACACTTGATCATATCGGTTGTTAGTTATGAAGCCTTCCTAATGTGTCTGTCATGTCTATAACCGAGATACGGTGGGCAGAGCGCG